AGAGACAGAGACAGAGAGACAGAGAGACAGAGCGAGAGAGAGAGAGAGAGAGAGACAGAGAGACAGAGAGACAGAGAGACAGAGACAGAGAGACAGAGAGACAGAGAGAGAGACAGAGAGACAGAGAGACAGAGAGACAGAGAGACAGAGACAGAGAGACAGAGAGACAGAGAGAGAGAGAGTGAGAGACAATGTATGGTTGACAAAAAAAAAGAGAGAGAGAGAGAGAGGGGATAATTGATGTGCAACATTGGAGCACGGGGTCGGGGAAGAGAAGAAGGCGGGTGGGGGGAGTTGGGGGTTATGGCTACCGGACGTTCAATTTCACCGCCAGTGCCCAGTGGGCGTTCGATTGCAAAGAGTATAATTTTTTTTTATTGAATTTGACCGATTGGCAAAGAAAAACAATAACGGTCAAGAAGACTGTACTCGTCATCTCCTTGGGGACAAACTGTGGCAACTAGCAAACTAGACTATGGCTCATCAAATGGACGCAGCTTCCGTCTCATTGACAGGTTCCGTATCATTGGCAGATTCCGTATCATTGGCAGATTCCGACGATGCCAATCGGGGTGAAGAATGGTGGGAGCTCACAGGCATGGTTGGAGAGTCAAAAGCGTCTGGCGCTGCTGATTGCCCATCCTGCACACCTAATTTGCCCGTAGTCGTTGACACGGAAACGGAAGGGGCATGGGTGTCTTCAATCACAGTGGGTAGCTGGGGCATGGCTGCTTGCTGAAAGGCATCCAGACCAACTCGAATCCAGTCCTCCAAGTCTGCGGTATCATCCAACTCAGCCTATTTGGCCACCGGTTCATGTGGCAGTGATGCTGTCATGAGCCGCCGTGTTGAGACCGCCATAGCTCGAGAGCTCTTTGAATCGCAAAAAGACCGACCTCAAGTTGAACGAGACGGAACAGGGTAATGAGATCAGCGTGTTGCGCCTGCATAGCGTAGTCCAATGGCTTATGACCTTGACTATCTTTGATGCTGGTATCCGCCTTGACCTATCATACGAAAAAAGCAGTTGACCCGTGAGCACGGAAATCTGACGCTCAACCAGGACTGTCGCGCCGTCATCAATGAGCGACCTTGACAAGGAGGCAAGCTGCGACGAAATGCCCATGCATGGCGGCAAAGTGTAACGCTGTGCACAACTCCTGGGTGGACTGGAGGTTGCGATCGGCGCCGTTCAGAATCAACAACTGGGTCATGATGGATCGAGCGTTCTTTGCCTATAGTTGGTCCACGTCCAGAATCAGAGGATACATTCCCAGAAGCCACATTGCTGGGAAAAAAAAAAGCCTGGATCAACATCAAGCGTGACACACCGCCAACATCAAAGGGGTCAGGCCATCATCGTTGTATGCGTTGATGTCTGCGCCACCCAGCAGACAAGCAGAGGCTGTCGCCACATCGCCCTCCCCGGCAGCCACAAAGAGATCCTGGCCCCGGAATGATGTTGTCAACCAGAGGTAAAGGTGTAAGCACAAGAGAACCAAACCAAAGAGCAAGCAAGTCATCTTAAATGCGTACCTCCTGCAGCTGGTCAACGTCCAGGGTCGGGTCGATAAACTTTTTGTAAATATACTTGTTGAGGATAAACTGTTCCACCAGCTCGCGCAAATCACTCTCACTACGGCAGGCATTGGTAGCAACCAGGAAATTTGAACATGCTGCATGGCCTCAATCTGGGCGAGAAAATGTCGAGGCGGATCCTACGATGCTTCTGCAAGCTGCTTCTTCAAGGGTTGAACCTCATCAGACACAAACTCGAGGACCGAGTTGCAGCGTACGTTGCCCAAGCACCCAATGACCTGCCCAACACAAGGGTGAAATGAGGACCTTGAGCACAGCATCGGGCTGAGGACGAATAAATGGGGCAAGAAGGGCACGCCCGGGCCAAGCTGCTGGCAAACGAACCTTGCAGATTTCGGCATCAATATGATCTAGCCCGAGGGAGCGCACTTTTGAAAAGTGGGTACCAAGCGAGCGATGGACGCCCGAACAGTTGATGCAGAGGCAGACGCCCATGTTGATGGCCACCCAGGAGGGCTTGGCACGACCACAGTCGGCACAGAGTTCGTTGCCTGGCAAGGCAGCAATGTCGTTTTGCAATTCACGGCGCTGCGACTCGCGAGCCTGGTCACCGGATTCCAGTGGCTGCAAGGTTGGGTTGCAAGAACATGTTTGGCTGTGAGCGTGTCTGCTCGTGATGACTCTGGATGCAGGCCAGCTGAAACCAACCGTCATGCGTTGAGCTGAAGCTACTGAAGTCTGGGCATTGTTGTTGAGCGCGTCACTAATCCCGGTTTGGAGGGCTAGAATCCAGCGCTCCTTCTCGATGCCATTGTCAGCTTGTAGAATAAAGTTGCTATTGTGTGAAGGCCAAATGTAATCAGCCCACCTCGCACCAGAACATGGTCACAGGTGAGCATTCAGGCTCTGTGTTTGGAGATCCCGTACCGGGAGGGAGTGATGATTTCAAAGCAATTGGTGCGGTCGATGGACTCGGACGGCTCTGCTTTCACGGTGCAGATGCGCAAATCCTCGACAAAGGCTTGTGGAGGTTCTTCCTTGTCGCGGTTGACGTATAGCAGCTGCCCACCGCGCAGAATGAACCAGCGCCGTGACCATGTCCGCATGACGTTGTGAGCCCGCTTAAAGAGATACCCCTCTTTGGTGAGCCTAGCGCACCGAGGGGTGAGTGGGCACGTCTGAGACGCGGTTCGTCTTCAGGAAAAGAGGGCATCGTAGAGACCAAAGGGTTGGTAGAGCATGTTGGAATTACGTACTGCTGTTCCTCAGTCTCTGGTGCGGGTGGACGGCCATCCAACTTTTGAGTCTGGACGGTTTGCAGCTCTTGTTCCATAACCTTTTGCTCATGAGCCTTGACCTCCTGGCGCTCAGAAAGCTGATGACAAAATTCAATCAGACGCAGAAAACCCCATCATGGGCGTCGATAGCTGTGAGCCTGGGCCGTGAAGCACCTTGAACAGCCAACCATGCGAAGGGGCGTCTTGACCAGGCTGCAGGCAGGTGACCTACCCGTTCTGCGACATGCTGCAAGTGTGGTTCGAGCTCTGTCATGATCTTCGTGCCTACAAGTTAGGCAAGGCGTTGGGAAGACGGCAAGTTAGGCGTCTGAGCATGGGTTTGGCAGGACAGCGGACAGCCCGGGGGCAGGACCTTGGTTGAAGAAGGTGCGATGCGTGTTGAGATAGGCCAAGCTCTTATCAATAATCTCATCCTTTTCCGTCGTCAGCAAACAGTTGAGGCGAAACACCTAGGACAGCAACGGCATGGTGCGATGAGAGGCTGGTCATGTCGGCCGTTGTCAGTGGGCAGCAAGGGACGGCGGTGTACATAGTCGAGAGCCACGTGGTTAAAGCCGGCTTGCTGGGCCACTAGCATGTTCTCCGCCTCTGCTAGGTCTTGATGCCGGCCTGATGAATGACAGCGTGGGTGAGTTTTGCGCCTGGGATAGGAAAGCACCTGCAGTTTTCGGGCTGGGGAGAGAGAGAGAGAGAGAGATGCGACGAACTGGGTGGGCAAGCCGCACGGCGGGCTCGGGCAGCATCCAGGTCATCGCTCATTTTATGGTAGAGTTTGGCCAGGTCCTTGACGCCCCTAACGTCACGTGCCACATATTGCCTCAACGATTCAGCTACGGTGGCCTTGGCTTGTTGTAGAAGCAGCGTGCGATGGCTTTGCAGCTCGCGGAGCGCGCTTGTAAACTGGTTGAGCGCGGATGGGAGTGTGGCATCATTGCGGTACGCTGCATCATTGCCCAGCGCATGTAGCTCATCAACAAAAGCCCCAACGGAGCGCTCGTAGGCAAAGCCCTTTTCTACCATGGCATCGCACGCCTTGGATACCTATTGAGGGCCGGTGACCACAAGGAAAAGGCGTAAGGATGGGCGAGGCCCGCGCTACGGGAGAGCCAGTTGCGACGTACGCGCTCGAGGT